GATTTGGAGGCGAATAACGCAGGAGGACAGTTTTTTGCGACCGCACTGTAGTGTTGCTCGTGTACTGTCAAGGTACTGTACGTACTGTTTTTGGATACGTATGGCTGCATAACGGGCATTACGTTGGTGGAAATCCATGGTCAAGCAGACGGGATCGGAAAGCATGGGTACCCATGACATCCACAGTTACATGTATATACTCGCGGCTGGTCTTCTTGCGATGTGCAATGGTGCGCATTTTTCGAATTTTTATCGATTTTACCTAAACTTATCAACTATATCCAATAAATGTCCCACGAAATTTCAGTAACTATTAATACTTGCCGATCTCCATGTGAACCAAGCCCTTGGAATTATTTGTGGACATTTTGTACTTATCGCAGATTCATTGCTAACCAACTTACTTCATAGTTTAATTTAGCGAAGACTGTTAGTTTAGCTGTATGATTTAAAAGATATCTTTGTTTTATTGGACAACGTCATTTCAAGTGATTGGATGTTATTTGACATCCCTGGTGTGGCCGCGCTTAATGTGCGTTTTGACAAGATAACTACCTGTCTATAACTCACTACCTCGTGCATACTGGCTCCAGGAGACAGCTCGTCGTGGTTAGAGGGGAAGGGATGCACGGTCCTTGTGGCCGTGCTAAGCTCGAAGTGTTGTTTCATGCGCTTAGTGTGGAGCGGACTACGGCTCAGCCACCGCTTTATATGCGGTTGCATCCTCAAATACAGCATGCTTGTGTTTGCCTATGAAGGAGTGTGGGAAGATCTGTTGATAAAACGTGACTCCCATCCACATGCTTCCCGGTCTTTGCCCTCGGGTTTACACTGGATATGGGTGTGTGTGTGTGTGTGTATGGATCTGTGGTTGGTGCAGCGCAAGCCACTCGTTGTCCCTCTGTAGGCGCAGGCCTCCAGTGGCTGGCCATAGCGACAGGCAAATTCGAAACCGGATGCCGCCAACGATGTGATTCTGCTTAGTGAGTATACCCCACACATCACAAAGCATAGAGTTAAATGAATTACCTGAAGTGTAAGAATTCCATCAGTTGGGATCGTTAACATAATGCCTAAAAGAGTGTTAATCAGCAGGGGTCCAGTTAACATCGGTAAAACAATTGCGTCGTCAAGCACATTACAAAAAGTGCAGCTTGACTCTTTAGGTCATGAAATGGCCTGCTTTTAGTGACACATTTCCACTGTGTGGATATTTACGTGCATTCGATCCGCAGCTGCCGTTCTTAAGCTACTGCAAGGAAAGGCTGGGTCATGACATACTGGCTTGAAATGTGTTACTCATATTTCGTTAAGAGCAGAGATTACAAGCAAATGAATACTACCCACTCGAGCTTCAAGCAAAACATTGTACGTATACTGTCATGTGAAACTTGTCTTTCTAAAATAGTTAATTTTTGCATAAAACGGAAGCCCACGGGGCTGACAACCTGCACCCTTATGAGTTGATACTGGTGTGCAATTTCGTGAAGTACATATATCTTTATAACTATACTAAGTACAACAAAATTGGCTCAGTGCCACAACACACTGGTGAAAAAAACAGATTGTATTGGAACACGAGAGTTAGAGAAGAAGAGTCTCACAGCAACTGAGTCATTGCGTCCTTTTCTGGTCCATATCCGCTAGCGTTTGAAACCAGATGTGCTCACGTTCCTTTGGTCACCAACCCGGGATTCGAGAAGGTACAGCAACAGCCATCCACGTCGTTTGCGCCTTAACGCATTGGATCTAAGTTTCACACTGGCCTCCTTGTCGACGCATCCATCCCACGCCTGCGCGCCCAAACAGGACACTTTGTGGTAACATGGTTGCTATGCGTAGCACATACCCAAGTCAGTTCGATGATGCTGTCCATTTGTCGGCAGCTTTTTTAGATTTGAAGACTCACCGACGGACTTTCTTATTACTGATGTGATGCTGCTATCGAATACCAGCAATGTTTTGCATGCAGCGGTAATCGAAGGATTCAAACTGTCATGCATCACTTTTGCGAACAGGCCAAGTTTTACAGCCATACAGCAGGATTACTCATACTTCAGCATATTGGACTCTTCCGCTGAAGGCAATGCTGTGGTCACAACGAAATTACTGGTGACGTATCCTTGCCAAACCTACTCTAGCCATGGAGATACTCGAGGAGATTTAACCCGTCAGGCGGCCAATACTTAGGCAACTTCCAAGGTAACTGAAGTTGTTGTCCACTTTCAGCGGATGCTCCAGTAGGTTGAGAGAAAGAGATGCAATTACCCAGTCCTGTACAAGGACTTCGCACATTTAAGGAGCAACGATAAATTCCAAATCGGACAAATGCGTTAAATTGTGCTAGTACTGCATCTATTTGAAGACCATTCGTTAGAACACATTCGTTGTTCCAGTTTGAATTATACATATTTACCGTACTGTAGGTAGCCAGGATGATTGTTTAGAGTTCTGATGCTACTTGGTTAGTCCTAGGAAAAAGTTAGTCAAGAACAGGTAAACGAAAACTGCAGTGAAGCTACTAGCACGGTGTCACTCCAAATCCATACGCCCTCAGCTGCTTGTATCCGTAATGTTTGCTCGAATTACCCTCATTTGACCTAGCTTTGTTATAAAATACGATTAGGTTCTAAGTTCATTATTCCCTCAAACATTCTGTCACATAATTAGTGAAAAATACACCTTCACAATCTTTATGTTGACTCTTTTCTGTTGCAGACAAATCACAAGAACATGCTCCCAATCAACATCGATGGAACTCTGCCCAGTGCTTCATCTTGGGTTCTTCCGATAATTACCGCGTTGCGGCCAGGGAAAAAGAGCCATTTCGCTGTTTCTACTTATCTGTCCGCCACAGTTCTGATAGGTCAGTGGCCTGATAAACTTTCATTCTCAGACGATCGCTTAAGAAAACGCCATTTTGGCTTTGGGGTTGACTTTGTTCTCCAGTATACCATTTGTATTCGACACTACAGCCCAAGAACAGTTTCTGATTTGAACACGTGACAGAAGTATACATAGACCAATGTAATTCGCACTCAATTCACTGGGTAGGCACTAGTAACAGGTTGTAACTACGCTGCTAGGTGACAGGGTGGTTAATTTGTTTAAACCATCAGGACTCAGTTGACTGTTTAACAGTTCGGTATGCTTGGATTTGGTACCTCATGTTTCGAGAGTTGCTGTGCTGCTGTATCAGATATGCGCTCAGATGTATATATATATATATATATTTATATATATATATATAAGACTTTTTCGGATTATAAGACGCAGTATCACTGAACGGATCTAATTTCATATATTAGCCGCATCGTATAATAAGACGCATAAGGTGAAACACATCAGTCGGATAGTTGAGACTTAGTTAAACTCGTTAGCAATAACTGTCAATATTCTTTACTTGTAACACTCGAAAAAAAAACAGAAAAATACACTCACTTTTACAACCATTCCTCTTTTACAAATCCGTCAATTCTTCATCATCAGTGCCGGAATAAAACAATTAGGCGACAGCGAAAGCATGCAAGCCAGGATCCCTCTCGTCATCATCTGAGTCAGTCTCGTTGCTGCTGTTTGGCTGTTCATTGATAATTCCCGCCTTCGTAAAAGCTCGGACGACAGTTGAGACCGATACCTTGGCCCAGGCATCGACGATCCATTGGCAGTTAATGGAGTAACTAGCCCGACATTGTTTCCTTGTTTTGGCAGACGTGTGCACAGCTTCTGTCATCCAACGCTCCCTTACTGCTAGCAATTTAACTTTGAACGCCCTGTTGACACTAATATCTAACGGTTGGGGTTCTTTGGTTAATCTTCCCGGAAAGATAGCAAGATGCGAATTAGTTTTCTTTACTAATGTTTGACAGTTTCGGTGCGATGGGCGCACATGGAGTCGTAGATCAATAGTGACGGAGATGTGTGGAAAAACACATCCGGTCTTCTGATGTAAACTTCTCTCAGCCACTCGCTCAGATTCTCCTCGTCCGTCCAGCCTTTTGGGTTGACCGTGGCGATGATGGCAACAGGAAACTATTCCTTTGGCAAAGTCTTCCTCTTAAAATTGACCATGGGCTTTGGTTTTTGGTCATTAGCATGGCAACTGAGAACTACAGTAAAGCATGATTTCTTGTTCCCAGTGGTGCGTATAGGTATGGTAGACGTTTGTGAATTGTCAACAGTGCGGTTCAGGGGGATGTCATATTTGAAAGGAACCTTGTCCATGTTTTGATGCGATCCAACTGGATATTCATTTCGGTGATCTTTTTCTCGCAGTAAGTTCAGAAGGTAGCCAACTTTTCTTGGTAATCCTTTGGCAGTTGCTGCGAAGTGCTAGTTTTTATATGGATGGATAGATCGCGTCTTTTCATTAAACGAAAGCACCGAGATGGACCTCCATGAAAGTCGTTTAGCTTCATATCAAATGCCATCGCTAGTGCATTGAATTGAATGGAGATTGTAGAGACACTTTTACCTGCTTTTCTATGTTCAGTAACCTGCTGCTCAATTTGTCCTCTAACTGTGGCCGTTTTGTTCTGTTATTTCGGAAACTCTACATTGTTTTCTTTACTTGGCGCAGTTCATCTTGCTTCTTCCATTTTCCTACCATTGATGCATTAATGTTGAAATGTTGCGCAGCTGCTATATTCCCGAGTTGCAATTCGTGGTCGATAACCTTGAGTTTTAATTTTGCTTCGTAATCATGTCCCTCTTAAAGGTATCATTTTGAGGTCCTTAATTACCGGTATGTTGAAGAACAGTACGTATCAGGAAAGGGGTAGACGTAAGCGAACAAGCTTCGTCTGCATCGACAGCACGCGACTGGCGCTGCGAAATGTTATCGTGCTTGACCTCATATGTAGACCAGATTGCATGTTATCAAGCTTTTCTCTGGAAGTTCACTGTTACTCCCGTCGTAGTACACGCACGATGACGTGTGTTCCAGTTGTCTATCCGAGAACCTCAGTTCGGACGATGATGTGAGTGAAGCTCATATGGGCGTCGCTGACTTTCTGGATGACAGCAACAATGGAGTGTTCTAACAATTACCTGCAACCAGGGCGATACTGGTGCGTGTTTTGCGAGGTGCTTTGTTGGACCAAGAAAGTTTACCAGGTGGAGTAACCATCACATATATAACCTTATGGGATATCAGCTTGCATGCTTGAATAGTTGGTTGGTTCATCTTCGCCAGAAAAGCTCAAATCAGTCGGCTTCTGCACAGACTTCGCCACTCACAAACAATCCTCTAGACAACACATGAAGATGACTCCACGAAGTTCCTGACCAGCGATTATGCTTCGACAATCAAAGTAGTGATAGAACGTTTTGACAGATTTTTCAGCGCAGTGTGAACATAGAACTGGATTCGAAGTCAGTAGGCCTCAGTACAACCTTCACTCATAGGGCGCACCGGAATATAAGGCGCACTGCCAATGGTTTCGCTGATGATATCAAGATATGGCGAAGGATCAGAGGACCGGATGACCATGAACGGCTCCAGCACGATCTTAACACAGTGTCGAACTGGTCAGTTCAAAACGCTCTACCGTTCAACGTAGACAAATGTCGCGTAGTACAATTACGCCATAGACATAACTACACCTACATACTTGGGACAAAGGAGTTGCAGAATAGCTCCCAAGAACGTGATCTTGGTGTGATCGTACAGAGCGACCTCAACTGTTCAAAACAGGCTGAGGTAGCTGCGAAAAGAGGCAACCAGCACGTCGGCATGCTGCGAAGGGCATTCGGGAGATTTGACCCATCAATCTTCCCAATGATGCTCAATTCCTACGTGCGCCCGCAAGTTGAGTACGCAATCCAAGCTTGGCAACCTTGGTTGAAACGCGACCTAGAAGCGATAGAGGCACCACAACGGAGAGCAACCAAGAACGTGATGGGCCTGCGGTATCACTCTTACCACCGAAGGCTGAAGTTGTTGGGAATTTTCAGCGGACGCTATCGAAGGCTGCGCGGCGATCTCATATTAGCTTATCAAATATTGAGTGACCCCAACCACGTATGCCGCCATTTGCTGAAACTTAGCCACAACACGCAGCTCAGGGGTAACTGCTTAAAGTTGAAGGAACAATATAGCCGTCTAGAGTGTCGACGGAATTACTTTTCCCTTCGAGTTTGCAAACCATGGAACGCACTCTCAGACTCAGTAGTATCCTCTCCTACCCTGGATGTTTTCAAAAAACGCTTAGATGTTGCCCTCAGCTCCCAACATTTTGTTACCTAAGCTCCTCTGTTGTGGATTATGCCAAGCATGTTTTCAACAGGACTAATGTATCAAATGGACCTAAGTGAGCGACCATATTTTATTTTCTCACTCCTTACCTCAACTATCACAGCGCCCCACTGTCTTTCTGAATGTTTACGCGCGATATTTCTTTTTCCTTTTAAACTGATGTTAATTATCAAAGTATTCATCTCGGCAGACGTTCGATAGATGACCCACACATATTTTAATTGCATCATATTCACCGTTACCATCCTACGGGACATGTCAAGCACTTGCTTTTATCTCGTGATAAATCATTGTTCATTGTTCATTGTTCAAATATAAGGAATATAATTGCGCCTAAAAGTCAGAAAAATACGGTATATATATATACGTATTGGCAGCTAATTGCTTGTTTACAGTTTTACGTATTTTTAACAAGATGTGTACTTGTACGAATATGCACATGCTGAGCTTGATGTTGCATTCTTGATGCTTCTTCACCGCTGTTGGGCTAAACTAACTTACACTTAAACTAGATCTTTTTAAGCTGGAAAATTTCATTCCAATTTATTTGGTTTCTTCTGCCTACTTGAATAATTTTCTATTAACTGGCCACATTGCTTACGCTGATTACGCTTATCCGGTAACTATTTTGCGTTTGTAGCCTTTTTAAGTAACTTGCGGATATATTTTACTTATCTCGGATTCTTTGCTAACCAACTTACTTCATTTGCTAATTTAGCGAAGAGTTATGCCACCGTTTCTGTATGCATTATTGGATTTATTTTATTTCGTTGTCGTTTCAAGTGATGGGCTGTTGTTTGATATCCCTGTTGTGGCCGCGCTTGATGTGCATGTTGACAAGGTGTCTACCTGTCTATTACCCACTACCTCGTGCATACTGGCTCAAGGAGACTGTTGGTAGTTGCTTGTCGGGACGGAGTGCACGGTCCTTATGGTCGTGCTAGTCTCGAAGAGTGGTTCCATGCAATCAGTGTGGAGCGGACTACGGCCCAGCCACCGCCTTGTATGCGGTTGCATCCCCAAATACAGCGTGCTTGTGTATGTCTTTGAAGGAGTGTGGGCCGGCTCTGTTGATGAAACTTGGCTCCCATCCACATGATTCCCGGTCTTATTCCTTCTGGTTTACACTGGATATGGGGTGTGTGTATGGAGCTGTGGGTGGTGCAGCGCAAGCCACTCGTGGTCCCCCTGTAGGCGCTGGCCTCCAGTGGCTGGCCACAGTGACAGACAAATCGGAAACTGGATGTCGCTAACAATGCACCTGTTTTCGTGATCAGTAGGTGCGCTACGCATGTTCAGCACGTATTATATACTTATTATACACTTGCGTTGAAATATGCGTTTGTGCTACTACACTAATAGGGCAAATAGGGCAAGTATTGTGAATGAATTATCGGGTATCAACTTTGTCATTTGTGTGGGGAAGATGATCGTATGGCTCCTGCTCTACCGCCTCATCATGTGTTCACATGTGTTCACCGTGCGGTCGCAAAAAACTGTCCTCCTGCGTTATTCACCTCCAAATATTTGGATTTATTCTCACAGAGACCTACGTGCCATCATTCGATTTCGCTTCGCGAGCTCCTCCTACCACTGTTCCTTTATTGGAT